TCTGAAAGATAAAACAATACACGTGTCTCGTCCATCTCCATCAGTCCGCCATGATCTCAAGAAATTATTGATCTTTAGAAGAACTCCCAACAATTGTCTTGTCCAAAGTTCTTAGAAGAACTTCCAACAATTGTTTTTCGCAAAGTTCTCAAAAAAACTTCATTATTTTAAAACAAAATACGTATTCAAAACGAAATGGCAGCCATCACAAAGTCTACCTGTAAAACTGTCATAAGAAATTTTACAGCATATTCGAATAAATAAATGTCAAGCATAAGTTTACATTTAAAACATATTGTTTTTAAAGAAATGTTTGACTAAGAGTATGTGGCATTTCTCGTTAAGGCATGTTGCAAAAACTTTCTTATATGTGTGAATAATCAACTTAAGAATTCAGTTTTGGTAACTTTTTATTATCTTGCAATGATTTTTTATAATTTAAAATAAACCCTCTTTTTGTAGGCCTATAAAATTTCAGCATATTCGTTAGACCATAAACTTTTTTACTATGGAGAGTTTCAATTTTTCAATAATCATTTAAAAAAAATGTCCGGCTAATTATTACTAAAAACTAACCAGCACAATTTTCAACTGATATCTTTCGAACAGTTTTTGAATTTTCAAAATCGACTCAGAATTTTTTCCATATACATTGACAAAAATTTTGCACTTATCTGTTAATTAAAAAACACGGGCAATTTCTTTTTTTTTAATAAAAATCAGTCAATTTTTTTGTAAATAAGGGTAGTGTTTTCATAAATAAAAATTTAAATATTTTATAAATTAATTTATTTTTGCGATACTGAAGTTTTATCAATAAACGATATAATCCTTATGTACAAACAAGAAATAAAAAGTTTATTATGCATATTACTAATATATTATAGCAGTTTGATATTTGGAATAAATGCTATCGAGTATTAACCAGGTGACTGTGATTGACAAAAATATTCATCATATGTGGCATAGAAGTGGCAAAATTGTTTGGATTGACAAAAATATTTGTCATACGAATAAAACAGTCACCATGATCTATTTAAATTTAGAAAAAAAAGTATTATCAAATGAAGTTGTTTAGAATATTTTATGCTATGATTGTATTGGTTGTGAGCACGGTTGTTTAATTTGCGAGACCTTAATATATTTTTTAAGTATACATAATTCAATTGATTTATAAGATGTATTGTTAATTTTAAGTTTGATTCAACTAATTTTTTATATAATCACTATAGAAGCTAACATCTGGTTGGGAAAAACAGGACCAACTGAACCAAGGAGTAAAACTGACCAAATTTAGAAGATAAAAAATAGCTAATAAAGAAGTAAATTAACCCAAAAAGCTAATAAAAAAGTAGATTAACCTAAAAAGCAATTTTAAAAGAAATATATTAAATAGTTTTTCCAACTCTGCTATTGATGAATATTTCTAACGAAATACCAGATCAAAGTTATTTACAGTGTTATCTCTATGAAAAATGCACGCATGAAATTTATATTTTGCACTGGTTGAATAATGTAGCTATCATTTTGCAAAATCCCTTTAAAATTGAAAATTAGATATTACCCTTCGCGCTCGCTGGCCATCCCTGCATATCTGGTAAAAAGGACCAGGTGGCAAATTTTGATTTGGCTAGGAGTTTTACTGAACATAGTCAATGTAGCTATTTATTTGTAAACTTCCTTTAAAATTAGAAATAAGACATTAGACCTGTTTATCCCATTGGCCGTCCAATTTTACCACATCTATGAAGCAAAACAAACCAGGAGACAAATTTTTGAAAAACAGCAAAACACTACATTACACCTACAATGATGAGCTGGGAGTTTTACTGAAAGTAGTCAGATAGTTGTTTGTTGGATATGTGTTATTTGCTGTGATATAATTGGTTTGGTTTTTACAATATAATTGCACAAATTCAAATTAAACCTTTGTGGACCACCCTTCCCTAAAAGAAGGGTGGTCCAACTTTTATTTCAAATTAGATGAAATAGGTTAACAATGAAGACAAGAGTTCACGAAACAAACCGAAGTCGATCTGTCCGCCAACTATCGACTTCTATTCCGCAATTTCCATCGAATACTTATATGGTTCGGTGCGATTGGAGCAAACAAACCATAAAACAATACGACAACCCTTTCCTCTCTCATTCTGCATATTCTCACCAACTCTTTCTCTGATATTTACTTTAGCAATAACTTATGGCCCGTGTTACATTGTTTCAGCTCAACACAACTGCTAGAGCTTCGTACTGACCTTCCTCTATAAATTGTACCGAGACACTGCCGAATAAATAAATCTGTCAGCGCACCTAAACTACTGCGAACTTTGGCAAAATTTACGACGACGCTAAAATCATAACGGGTAGATGATTTTGATGGCGTTTGCCAACTTGCTCCTAGCGGGAGATTCGAACAAAATTTGGAACCGATTTGTGTCACAAAAGTAACACTAAATGATCATTGGATATAGTAAAATCAAATAGTAAGGTATTTTATGAAGATTTTAATAATGAGTACACATTTTGTGTCCATTTTTTTTGATTCCGTACTGTGATTTCTAATTTTTAAAGTTCTCTTTTATGGTTCCAACAAATGTTGTCCACGTGGATCGGTCGACTTGAATGATTAAAAAAATATTAGTTTCAATTTCAATTAGCAATAGGCAGGTCTTCTAACTGTTTCTTAGGTACGGAGCGCCAAAGATTCAAGAAATGGTCGTCCTGTTTTTGAAAGAACCGATCATCTAATTAGAATGATTCAAAAGGCTTTTTCTTGTCTTTACCAAGAGTAGTAATCATTAGGTTTTAAGAAAATTTTCAAGATTTCGAAAAACAAAAAACCAATTTTAATTTTTTTAAATTCTTTCATAATTTTCAAAATATTTTCAATTTTCTCAAAAAAAAATCCTAATTTCAAAAATTTTCAAAAAAGAACAAAATTTTCAAAAAAAATTCAAAGATTATAAAAATTCAAATTTTCGAACTTTTTCATAATTTTAAAAAATATCAAAATTTTAAAAAAATATTTTTTTTACAAAAAATTTTGAATATTTCGAAATTTTCAAAAAAAAAAATTCACAAAATTTCACATTCTCAAAAAAAATTTAAAACATCCTTTTTTTGTCAAACATTCCAAAAAAATTCAAACATTTAAAAAAGCTTCAAAATTTTAAAAAAAGAATCTAAATTTCCAAAAATCTTTTTTTTTCAAATTGAACAAATTACTTGTGAAACATATACATAAGTTGTTTGTAGAGTACGTTCGTTGCCCAATTTAATAAACACTTATACATTTACAGTATTTATTTGTATTCTTTCGAAAATTTTGTGTATAAATTTTATTATAAAACAGTGAAGGTTTTGCCTCTTCACGTTCATTTTGTTTGTGCAAATTTGTTATTGCGATAAATATAAAACAAACATTTACTTGCACATAAACTTTTATCGATGCTCGGTTTGTTCTTTCAATTGGCAACCTTGTACAATAATGTGCAATAAGTAAATTTATTTATTCATTTATGGCATTGAGACTGAATCGTTTGGAAAGATAACGATTTAGCACATTTATATTAACAATTTAATTTATTTTATTATACTGCAGTATTTTCTGCAATTTCATTAAAATAACAAATTTAACTAAACGGCGTCTAAAAGGCAATGATAGACCACGACCACTTTGGTGATATCAAAGATTTAAAATAATTTAAATTATTTATCTGTATTTAATTATTGATCTCTGTAGTTCATTCATCACATTATATGATACTTTTTATAGTTCTAACTTTTTAACTTCATCATCCACATCCACAAATCACCAATTATGTGGATTCTTCTTAGATTTTTCTTAGACACTGCGCAACGAAAATGGCACTTTCATTTTTTTCCTCATACTTTTGTATCTACATAGAATTACACGCTGATTCCAAATATATTTCATTAATTTAATATTTCATTTTTCCGTAACAGCTTTAGTTTTTGAGTTTGAGGGAACTACCCCAATTAGTCATTTTGGCTATGATTATCGCAGTTTAACGAACAACTAAGAGTTTTATCTGCTGTTTTTGGTATGGCTTCGACTGTAAGACCTTGTCTTCATAATCCAGATAGTTTTTGTTACATATGAGGTTAATATTTTTTCGACAAATACCAAAAACCTATGTCGAACTACGTAAAGGCATTATATCTCAACCAATTTAAAAGTGAATTGCGCAATCACGATAAAACATGGATCCTTCGTACTATGTAAAAAAGATGCATAGTAATGTTTACATTATTATCTAGAACAAAAAAGAAATGCTAAAATTTCAATACCCCGTTATTCAGAAACAACTTGAAAAACACCACGACGATTGTTTCTTCTGTATGATAAATATCAATAGAATAAAATCAGGAAATAGAAGCTAATGGTCATAAACCACAACCCCAATGCATGGTCTTATGATCAACTACACGACTCCTATCCATGCTAATGATGAACGACCTAGATGGATGTGGAAATCAAAGTTTAAAAAAATACTCTCATTCAGAATGGTTTTTGGACTATCTTGGAGATATTAGCGAACAGCAGAGCGATAGTATCCACCAAGACATCAAGACTTTGGAGGAGCGATATCAAGAAACATGGGGCTTACACATGATGGCTGGCAATTGTCGGAGCTTCTTCCATGCTCGAAAATTTTATAAAAAAAGCTTTTGAAGGCATGAAATAAAATATGTTGTATTTTTTATTGTAATTTGAGTTAAAACTAGCACATTGGCATATCTCAAAAACTAGAGCTGCTAGCAGATTTCTGTTACTGCTTTCGGAATCAGCGTCCTCGATTTACTTAAAAATCATCATACCATCTCAGAAAAAAAATTTAGTATCGAGCAGTGTTATCTATTGCTCAAAACACAATAAATAAAACATTGTTTTATATAATAGTGATATATTACAGGTAGCAGATACAGCTTTGGAATGCATACTATTAAATTTAACTAATAAAAATAATTTATTATTCCTAATTGTTGGTCAAGATATTATCAACTAATTCTAAAACCTTAAACTTGAACTTCCTCATTTGGCTATCGGTCATTGAATTAAGATCTGGAAGCAAACTTAGTAAAAACATCTTTTTAGGATTATTTTCTAAATCTTCAATTTTCCTAATTTTACTATTGCTTGGCCTATCATCAGTATCACCTTCAACACTAGGTTTATTTGGTTCAGTACCAGGTAAATATGGTAGATGATCTAAAAACGATGATGATGACGAATCTGTTCTATTCTGCGCTGGTGTCGATAAGTCTCTTTGGTCATTTTGAAATGAATGATGCAAATTTGATTTATCTTCCACCACTATCACTACCTCTTCTATATTATCTTCCGGATCTGATTTCATACATTGTTCTTTTATTTCAAAGTCCCAATCAGCGGTATCGTGCATTGAATCTAAAGCCTCATTTTGTGATGCGTTATAGTCCTTAGTATTTGAAGTTCCATACACCTTTATAAAGGGCACAAGAAATTGCATGAAAGCATTTAAGTAATAAGGTTTACGTCTATCAGTTTTCAAGGTCCGGCCAAAAACGCTTCGGATATTGCGCCATTTTTCTTTGCATTCTGCCCCTAAAATATTATAAGATAAAAAAATCAGAATAATGGTAGTATACAAATATCGTTCTCCGTTAAAAAATTCAACCAATTTGTAATGTCAATATATATTTTTTATTGATTCTGCACTAATTTCATTACCTTGTGAATAGAATAATAATTTGTATGTGATATCTAAATATTTAATTATAGTTTCTAGAAAAGATATGTAAACAATAATTTAAATATTTTACATTGGTATTTTTCCTTCAGGCAAGTTACATGAACTTCCCGATATGCGAAAATAATCAATAAAAAATTAATTAATTTATGAGTGATTAGAAGTATTCCGAGTGGATTTATTACACATAATTGAAAACGAACGAACACGTTATCTCGGAGTATTTTGTAAAGGCAAATTTTTACAAATCAATTATTTTTATAATTGAACCAGTTTCCGTAGGAGTTGGTTTAGTATGTTCATTAAGACCAAGTACTCTATCGTTTACCAAGAAAATCGTCTAATTTTAATTTAAACAAACGTCAAAAAAACTGATCATGTTCTCAAACTTTGATGAATGTTTAAATTAAACTACTTGTCGTAAAGCCATAATATTTCAGTAAGTTCTATAAGACCATGATATATATCGCCAACAAATGTTCCATACAAATCGGCTTAAGTTTTTTTTTTCAACAGTTAATTACAAGAAAACGGATCGGTAGATTTTCACCTAATGAGTATCATTTCCAACTAATATCTTTCGAACAGTTTTTGATGTTTCAAAATCGATTCGGTAGTATGAACTTTATTCCAAATCACAAAGAAACGGCTCGGCCGGTCGTCGCACAAAACTGAGAAACGGTAATCCTCAGCGAGATACATCAAATGGCTTTTAAATGAAATTTATGAAATCGGTTCAGGCGTTTTTGAGCAAACGTCGATGAAAGGTCTAATTTTTGTTTGCCAAACAAACGGTACCAATTTTTGCAAATTTTGACAAAGTTTTAAAGTTAAACGAGTTGTCGTAGGGCCGTAATATTTTTGTATAATCTATAAGACTATGGTATCTGCCGTCAAAAAAATAATAATAAAAATCGTCGAAATTTTTTTTTAACACTTTATTACAACAAAACGGCCCGGCCAAACGAAAAACTAATCAGCACGATTCTCAACCAATATCTTTCAAACGGTTTTTGAATTTTCAAAATCGATTCAGAATTGCGGGCTAAAACGTGGACGAAAAAATTTTCACTTCTCTGCTATTTACAACGAAACGGATCGGCCGATCGCCGCACAAAAGCAACGCTAGTCCTCATCGAGATACATCGAATGGCTTTTAAATGTTTGAAATCGGTCCAGCCGTTTTTGAGAAAACGTCGATTTACGGCAAAAAATCTGTTCACACATACACACATACATACACACACATACAGACACACATACTTTTTCCAAATTCGGTCTCATTCGATTCAGAATGGCTTGAAACGTCGAGAAAACATAAAATTAGCGAATCGAATTTTTTGATGAAAACGTAAACTTCTCCTTCGGAAAGTTAATAATTAGGTTCTAAATACAAACATTTAAGGAGGAACCAGCTTTAGAGGCTCAAAAAATCATTTAAGTGAGAAATTCAACAGTTTATCGCAACTTAAAGAAATAAAAAAAAAATTTGAAAAAAAAACTTTAGATTGTTTAAAAAGTGGGTTAATTATAACTTTGAGGTTTTTTAGGTTCAACTAGAAGAGAATTTAATCCTGAATAAAATCAATCTCGGCTCTTTTCGATAGAACGTTATTATTTTCCTCCCTTTCTCGCCAATTAGAAAAAAAAAACAAAAAAAATTATGGAGAAAAAGTTTGGGAAGACATTTTGAAGCCTTTAAAGCAGACTCGACCCTTAAATGTGATGTTTGTTCCTTGAACACGCTTACAAGTAGTAATAAAATACCAATAATATATCAATAATATTTACCTGTAAAATTGAATTTATCACCAAGTGCGTTCCATGTTTGTTCGACCAATTCTTTATTTGTGTAGTCGGTTATATTAAAATTATATAAGCATGGATGTTTTTCAATTTCTTGTACAAACGCTATGGATTGTTCTGTCGACATTTGAATCGCCATGATTGTTCACTCAGTACAAAACTAATATCAAATCGAATCCCGTGCAACACGCTTGCGACTCGAAATATGTTTCATCGACCCTCGAACGAACACGAACGCACACGACGGGCTGCGGACACAGTCGAACCGCTTCGAAGATGTTCGATTCGAGTCGGAAGGCAACGTTCGACCGTCAGACAAGCGCTGTGGATCGAACGGTAAACGACTTTAGTCACTTAATATTAAATGATTCATCGCTGTCGTATGAATCATTTAACATTTATTTTATTTATCAAAAGTGTAATAACACTTTTTGATTATTCTGAATCGAAATGAAATACTTAAATGCCGCTAGTTAAATATCTAGAAATACATATATGTATATGTAATTCAAATTGAATAATAGAAAAACTAGTGGTGCATGGCATCGTGCTTTAAAGCAAATTGCTGAAACTTTTTGTACCAAAAATTAATTTTGTTAAAAAAGCTTTAAATTTTTTTGAAAAAAAAAAATACATTTATTTGGAAAAAAAGCTTTTTTGAAAAATTTTTCAGTAGGCTAAGTTATAGCAATAACAAAAGAAAATTTTTGCAGTATTTTACGTTTAAAAGACTTCTGAACATCTTGGCACACCTGGCTAGAAAAAAATGGTGTGCGTGTAGTATGTATGTGCGAACATATGTGTTTGACCACAATTTCAAGAGCACAGATTAACCGATTTGAATAATTCAAACAGCATTCAATTTCTATTGATGAGGAAAGGTGCTGATTAGTTTTTGGCTGAGATAGGTCCAGCCGTTTCGAAGATACATATCACAAAGTGGCAAAAATGGAAATTTTGCTGTAAAAGAATGGAGCGTGCGATTTCAATAATTAAAAAAAAATGTTGCTTGGATTGACTAAGTTACAAACTAATTTTTGAAAAAAAAAAGTAAATAAATGCCATTTGGCGGTCGAAAATAATCATTAGACATATGCACATAAAATTATCAAATTATCTATTGAATTAAAATTAAAAAAAATCTTGGAATAAAAAAAAATCCAAAAGCAATTATTTTGTCAAAACAAGCAGATAGTTTTTTGAATCATTCAAATAAGATGCTTAGTTATCTCGAAAACTGCCATTTTTTGCACAATTAGCTCGGTATATCCAAAATGGCTGAATCTGCTTTTGCCAAAAACTAATCAGCACATCTCTCTATCAATAGAAATCGAATGTTTTTTGAACCATTCAAATCGCTTGATCCGTGCGCCCGAAAACGTAAACAAAAAATGCGGACACACAAAACACACACACACACACACACATACACACACCTCTATTTTTTCTGAAGTATGCCAAAATGTTCAGAAACCTTGAAAACGTGAAGATATGCAAAATTTCATTTTAGACTTTCGGCCCATTACTTAACTACCCTACGGGAAGTTAATAACAAATGTTTTAAATATTTTCAAATAAATTATTTATTATAAATTTATTGTAAATTTATAACAATTTATTAAATTGGGCGACGAGCGTATTCTACAAACAACTTATTTAAATTCAAAAAAAAAGTTCAATTATTTTTTAAATTTCTATATTTTTTGGAATACTTGAAAAAATGTTTTCGATAATTAAATTAAATTAAATTTTTGTTTTTTTTGAAATTTATGAAGAAATTCGAAAATTTGAGTTTTTTTGAATTTTGAATTCTTTTAAAAAATTTGAATTTTTTGAACATTTTCCAAATTACGTAATTTTTTGTAAAATCATTATTTCGCACCGTCCACATAAGCAAAATAAATTTCGAATTATCTTAATTGGATGATCCGTTCTCTCAAAAACTGCTGTTTTTAGCACATTCAGCTCCGTATCTCGAAAACAATTGCACCTGTCTTTGCCAAAAACTAATCAGCACGTCTCTTTATCCATAGGAATCGAATGTTTCTTTGAATCATTCAAATCGGTTGATTCTTGTTCTCGAAATTGTCAACGAAAAACTGTATCTGTACATACATACACACACACATATATATATATATATATATATATATATATATATATATTAGGGTGGTCCTTAATATGGGCATTTTCAAATTTCCTTGCTCCCAAGAGCTCAAATGGTTCCAAAATGATAAAAAACAATTTTCTGAAAGTTTTAGCTCCTAATATTAACTTTTAGATAGTGCGCAATTCAATCAAACTTCGTATGGAAATAGTATGGAATTTTTTTTGAAAATATCCGTTTTTTATAAGGTATGTCAAAATCTTCAGAAACCGTTGAAACGTAATGATTTATAAAAATTATCATTCGATTTTTTGCGACTATTATAACTTACCCTTAAGAAATGTTAGCGATCAGAAATTTAATATTGCACTAACCATGACAATTCATAATAATCTGTGCAGAAGCAAATTTTGCACAAAAATGTCCGATTATGCTTTAGAAGAGAAATCTGGCAGCGTTGTTCCAAGCCGTTTTGTATTATTTTAATACACACCCATAATGCTAATGATAGCTTCAAACACAAACACACCCATCAGCAAACACATGTAGATATATACTTTGCTTTCATACAAGAGTAATTTATATGAAAGTTATATACAAGCCATAAAATTCTAAACTGTACCGTTTTGCTAGTATTAGTATGTTTTTTACTTCATTTGCACACTTTGATGAGCGCTGTTGCTCTCACGAAAGCAATTTTTGCAAAAGTGGTAAGGCATCGTGCCGTAGGGCAAATTTCTGGAACTTCCCGTACCGTAATTAAACATTCGAGAAATAAATATAGTCAATAAATAACCAACAAAATGATTCAATTAATCATAACACTTGTTTTAAATATTGTCAATTATATTATTTATTAAAAGTACTTGTAAATTTATAAGTTCTTGTTAAATTGGGCGACAAGCGTATGGTACAAAATTTTATTTGTATGTTTACAAGACATTTCTTAACTTATTTTTGAAGATTCTGAAAACTTTCAAAATTTTTATTTTTTTGGTAATTTTGAATTTTTTTCAAAATTCTTTAAATGCTAAAATTTTTTGAAAATATTCGATTTTTTTGAGAACTTTAAAATATTCTGAAATTTTTATAAAAAATAGAATTTTTAAACACTGTGATATTCTTTGAAAATTATGAAAAATTTCAAAAGTTTGAATTTTTAAAGCTTTTTTTTAAGTTTGAAAATCACAACTTCGTTCTCACAAAAACTGACTTACCACTTTCTGCCCCGTATCCTTGAAACAACTGGACCTGCCTTAGCCAAGAACTAATCAGTACGTCTCCTTATCAACAGGATTCGAATGTTTTTTGAATCATTCAAATCGGTTTGTGCTCCCAATATCGTGGACGAAAAATTGTATCCACACATACGCACACACACAAACATACAAACATACAAACATACGTACATCAATTTTTTCTAACTAATTTCTAAGGTAACTCTAACTAATTTCTAAGGTGTGCCAAATTGTTCAGAAACCTTTGGAACGTGAAGATATATAAAAAAATCCTTTATTCGATTTTTTTGCAATTATTATTACTTACCCTACTAGAATAAAAATTGACAAATAAATAGTATGATAATAAAATGTTGTATGCGTGGGTATGTGTGTGTACGTGTGCAGATTCAAATTTTCGTCTACGATTTCGGGAACACGGATCAACTGATTTCAATAATTTAAAAACTATTTGATTTGTATGAATGGGGCACGTGCTGATTAGTTTTTGGCAAGAGCAAGTCCAGCCGTTTCCACGATACGAGGCAAAAAAGTCCAAAAATGGCAATTAAATTTTTGAGAGAACGGAGCGTCCGTTTTGAATTATTCAAAAAACATTTTATTTGTATTGACTAAACAAAAAACTGATTAAATTTTTGGGAAGGCATGTTCAGAGGTTTCATAGATCCAATAACAAAAGTGATAAAAAATGCGATTTGGCGATCAAAAATGATCATCAGATATATGCACATCAAATAATCAGATATTTTATAGAGACTGTAATGATTAGTGTAAACTTTGTTTAAAGATCAAAATTTCAAAGATATAAAAACATCTAAATTTTCAAAAAAATCAATTTTTTTAAAAACTTCAAAAATATAAATATCACATTTTCACAAGTTTTCAAAAAATTGAAGTTTTTTCTAGAAATTTTCATTTTAGGTACGGGAATTTCCTGCAGTTTGCCTTAAGGCACAATGCCATGCACCACTAGTGACTTACCGTAGTTATAGTAATGGGCCAAAAATCGAAAATGAAAATTTTTGCATTTCTTCACGTTTTGAAGGTTTCGGAACATTTTGGCATATCTCAGAAAAAATGGGTGTGTGTCCGCATTTTTTCGTTCACGTTTTCGGGCGCACGAATCAGCTGATAGAAAAATGAGCTGATTAATTTTTGGCAAAGGCAAAAATAGAAATCGAGTTTTTGAGAGAACTAAGCATTCGATTTGAATGATTCAAATAAAATAAAAATCAGCTTGTTTTGGCAAAACAATTGCTTTTGCCTTAAGGCACGATAGCATGCATCGCTAGTTTTTATTATTACTTAAACAATTTTTTAACAACTAAAAAATAAAAGAAAATCGCAAGCTTCCTGTGACAAATGCGTGTTTACCGCGATGTTGTATCACATTATGGTAAGTTTGAGTATCTGTCTTAATTTACAGCTTTTGTATGTAGCCGAAAACAAACCAAAACGTCTGGCAGTTCTGAGCAAGCAATTCGTATTCAAATCTCGTTCAATATTTACCCGTTTCATAAGAGATACAGTTCGAGTGCGTGCTAGGTTCCACAAAGAGATCTTACGACTTATATTATTTCTACTTTTCTAAGAATCATTATGAAACGTTCATTTTGGCAGACTGACTGGCTCGCTACGATATTTCTACATAGAAAAAGACGAAAACAATTCTATGTAAATACATCTAGCGCGCTCTTATCAAGAGAACAACGACGAGGTATTATATTTGATCTTTAATTTGAAGTGGAATTATAAAATTCCCCTGAATGAACGTTCTTGTGTAAACACTAACGAAAGCCTTGCCACAGCAACTTATGGAGAAAGAGAATAATTTAGACATCG